CGTTTTTCGCTTTGCTTTCGTCCGACCCACATCCACATGTGCGTTCGCTCATCAAGCCTCTCTTTTGGCTGCAGCAGGTCAGAGCCTCACTCCCCTCCCTCATGCGCTCATGCGACAGCAGTACAGCAGCAGCAGTGGTCCTCTCCCCCCAACAAGGACACACACGCACATACATACACCCTCACACACACATGCACACACAAACGTATCTCCCCTCCGCCTTCCCCCGCAGAGGAACAACCAAACCAAAGCTACACACATGCACTTGATCCTCTGTCATAAAACAAGACTAGCGAGTAAAAATCGCTCCCCCTTCTCCTCCCCCTCTGCCGGCTGCTGTCCCCTTGCTCCTCTCCCTCCCGTCCTGATCTCCCCTTCCCTCCCCCTACTTCCCTACTTCCTTTATCTGTCGCTTCCCCTTCACGTTCCCCCCTCCCCTCCCCCTGCTCTGCGTATTTAACTAGCGAATAATACAGCCCCGGGCGACGCCCGCCCGCCCCGCCCCGGCCTCATATCCATCCATCCAGTCCGGCTCCCGTGACGTGCGTCGCGCCGGGCACCCCGCGCCGCGCCGGCCCGGGTCGCGGCGGGCACTTCAAAGGCAGCAAGGCAGCGGCCTCGTATGGACCCGCGGCAAAAGCTGACAAGCTGAGCAGCGAGCGGCGCCGGTCGTCGCAGTGCCTTGGCGCCAGGAATCGGGAAATGGGGTGAGATTTTCCATACGAAGGGCGACAACGACGCGAGGAGCAGGGTGGTGGGGTGGGTCTCATCCCGCGGCCCATATAGCACGGCCGCGGCCCCGCGCCCCCGCACCTGCGCGCCTCCCGCAAGCGCGTCCACCCCCCCCCCCTTCCCCCACCCCCACGCCGCGTTCACAAACACATTACGGAAAAAATGAGACGAGCCAGCCTCCCGCTAAAGAAAGGGACGCCTCCCTCCTCCCCCGTCCCCTCCCCTCTCCTCTCTGAACAGCACGCCACCCCCTTCCCCGCCGCCGTGCCGCGCCGCCGCCGGGTCTCGGACACGCGGGGACATTGTTTTTTCGCTCGGAACAGATGCTATCGCGACCCGGCTGCGCTCTGCTCCGCGCTCGGTGCGGGAGCGGCGCACTGCGGGGCGGGGCGGGACGTGGCGGGGCAGAGGGGGAGCCCGGCCCGCGCAGGACAACCGGCCGGAGGAACCCCTTCACTTGCCTTTTCATTCCGAAACCGGGCCGAGCGGAGCGC